CCCCGTCAGCCTGTCCCCTGTCCCCGGTGCAGCCCTGGGGAGGTCCAGGCAGGGGACAGGGGCGGGGTTGATGGACTCAAGGGCGGAGCAGTGAGGCAGGTGGCAGGAAGGACACGGGGCTTGTCCAAAGCGAGACTGTGTCTGGGGGCTGGGGAACGCCCTGATAGCGTGGGATCGGGCCCTGGGTTCTGGGTTCTCACCTGCTCCTGAGTGAGGCCCCCTAGAACCCTATGGGCTCGCTGTTCCATCTGCCTCAGCCTGGGCCTCCACTGCCCCACCTGCCCTGGTCTGCATTCTAACTCTCACTTTCTGGATGGCCTGGGCGAGGCTGCTGCCTGGACTCCAGGGTTGGTGGCCTTCTACTCTCCCGAAGCCTCTTGGTCGCTTTGACAGGGAGTCCTGGGGCACAGTCAGTCATTCAGCACACTGCTTGCTGCTAACTGTATGGTCAGAGGTTCAGATCCACCAGCCTCTGTGAGGGAGAGAGATAGGCTGTGTGCTTCTCTAAGGAGTTCAGCCTTGCAAACCCTCGAGGGCAGCTCTAGTCTGTACCCTGAGGTCACTAAGGGTCGCCATCGGCTCGGTGGCGGCAGGCTGGGTTGGCTTTTTCATTTGGGGGTCTGTCTTCGGAGGCCCGGCAGCCGTCGGGGCGCACCTAAGGCAGGGACAAGGGCTATCTTTGGGGTGCTGGATCCTCTGCCTCCCTCATTACAAAGCCACACAGCTCCTCCTGGCGTGGGGAGTTGGGGTTTGGTGCCTAAAATGTCAAATTGCAGAAATTAAGCATGCAAGTGCTGGCATCTCATTAACCAGTTGACAGCCGTGCACAGCTGCAAGTGACAGTGACTGATTGTCTTCTGCCAGCCTCTCCCCCAGCAGCCCAGCCCTCCCCCCCAACACCACTTCGGGAGGGAGCCCGGCACCCCAGAGTGCTACAGGGAACTTCCTGTGGCTTCCACACTACGGAGATGGGAGTGAGGCGGGGACCCCAGGTGATCGGGGCTCCTGCAAACCCTCCTCTGTGACTCACAGTCCTTGCCTTCAGAGTCTCCGGCTCCAGAGGGAGAGAGATCACCTCTGGTCCCCAGCTCCCCACAGTCAGTGGGGACATCCACAAACTCAAGGGGACACGTTGGCCCGCAATGCCCCCTTCTCCCCCCCACCCCACCCCAAGGAAGAGCTGTGGCTTCCAGCTCTGTCTCTCCCCACACCTGCCCTCCAGGTACTACTCGGACATCGGCAAGATGCCAGCCATCAGCGACCAGGACATGAACGCCTACCTGGCTGAGCAGTCCCGCATGCACATGAACGAGTTCAACACCATGAGCGCCCTGGCTGAGATCTTCTCCTACGTGGGCAAGTACAGTGAGGAGGTGAGCCCCTACCCTCCCTGGGTCTGCTGGGAGAGACCGGACAGGGGCTGGGGAGGCGGCCCTGCCCACAGCTGGCACATCTGCCTCCGCCATGGCCATGGGACTGGCCCACTGCACCAAGCCCTGCTCTCCAGGGAGGCACAGATCAAGATCCGTCTGTCCCTCTTCTGTTCCTCCGCTTCCTCTCTCCCCCTCCTTCACTGCCGCCTCTCTTCTATTACTCCGTTCCTCCGACACAAGGCTCTTTAATCAAGCGCTTCTGGAGGCCAGTGTGGGGTGAAGAGGGCAGTGGGCAAGGGGAAAAGAGACCCAAACGAAACTCACCACCCTCCAGGCAATGCCAACCCACAGCTACTCTGCAGGGCAAGGGAGACCTGCCCCTGTGGGTTTCCCAGACAGCAACTCTTTACGGGAGTAGGAAGTGTGCCTGGTCTTTCTTCCACCGATCAGCAGCTGGCGGTTTCGAACTGCCGACCTTGTGGCTCGCAACCCAACTTGTCACCACTCTGTCCCCAGGGCTCTTCTCTTTTACTGTTCCCTCCCTTTTATTTCTTGATCCCTTGGATTGAATTCTCTGGACTCAGCCCTTCTGAGCCCTAGAGGGGGCTGTGGGGTGAAGGGGGCAGAGACATGGAGGGAAAGGGAAATAGAGTGAGAGTGGGGTGAGAGAGGAGGTGGAGTGGAACAGGTCTTTTGGTGGGTGGGGGGGCTTGTTAAAAATCCCCTGGAGTAAAAACCACTATCGACACGACCTTCCTGCTTGGCACGTATTCACTCACTCACTGCCATGAGTCAATGCGGGCTCATGGTGACCTTCGAGGACAGGGTAGACCTGCCCCTGTGGTTTCTGCGACTGGAACTCATCTACACGTTGGTCTCCCCAATTTCTAATAAATTGACTAGGCTGTGAACCCCAAAGCCTGGGCGCCCTGCAGCCATCGGGCCCTGCTCATTCCCTCCTGGGCCACCCCAGGCCCCCAGCAGCAGTGGGATCAACTCTTGCTTGCTGCATTGTCTCATGGTCTGCCTCAGGCGTACAGAGGGCGCTCACACAGGGCACCTGTGACCCTGTCTGCTGGAGCAGACCAGAGAGGGACCCGAAGCTCCCTTGGTAGAGATTTCAGACCTCCGTGCCCATCTAGAACTGGGAGGAGCCATGACTCAAACCTGCAGCTCCTGAGTCTGAATCCAATTCAAATGCCTTTTCTATCACATGCCCAAACAACTCCACGTGGCTGTCCTCCGCCAAGGGTTGGCTCTGGGACAAAGCTTTGACTGGCCCTCTCAACCAGATGTGCATGACCAGTGAAGGCTTAGCTACCTGCTACTGGGAATGCTTTTTGCTTTGTGGGCGCGGGCAAAGTGAAAGCCAGGGACTTTCTGACTGTGATTTCAGGCCTCGATGAACTGGAAGGGAGATTTTTCCTGTGTTTAGAAAGAGGGCCAGGATGTCTTAATACCTGTGCGATCCCATTCCCAGTGGACTCCAAGCAACATGCTGGCATTGCTCTGGAATGTTGACCTACGAACCTACAGTGGCGGCAAAGCCTAGGTCTCAGCCCACCTGCCATTCGTGGGTGGGAGAGCACGCACATGGTCCACACAGGACCATGAGTGTCCACACCCCGTGTTCTTTGACACACAGGTCCCTGCATGTCCTGCACATACATGTGCCTCTCAACACCCCACCCCCCAATGTTAGCGCTCCAGAGCTGACAGAAAGTATCGCAAACTGAGTGGCTCAAAACGAGGGGACTGTCTGGTCCTCCAGTTCAAGGAGGAGGCTAGGCGTCTGCCCTATTGATTCTTAGGGAGAATATCTGGTCCTTCGTCTCTCCTACGACTTCCTATGGTTGCTGGCCATCCTCAGTGGGCGTTGGCTCATAGACACATCACTGCCGTCTCTGCCATCGTCCTGGCATGGACTCTGTTTCTGTCTCTTAAAGACCCCACGCCTCTTGGGTTAGGAACCCACCCCACCCTGAATGCAGTGTGTGACTCATGTTAGCTAAAAACTAAAAACATCATCACAACTCTCTTCCAAACAAGGTACTGCAGGTGAAGACGTCACTGGCCTTTGGGGGCACTGGAGGTTGGCGGGGGATAGGGGAGGGCCCAGTTCAGTCCACGGCCCCTCCCCATCCCTGTTACCCAGAGCAGGCTGCCGACTTAAGCCCTTACCTGTGCATATGTACCTGGGTTCTCAAACCCTGACTGTGTCTGCATGCACACACACTCACTTGAGTGACCTTGTCCTTTGCCCTTCCACAGATCCTGGGTCCCCTGGACCATGACGACCTGTGTGGGAAGCAGAAACTGGCCTACAAACTAGAGCAAGTCATAACCCTCATGAGCTTAGACAGCTGAGAACCGCCCTCCAGGGCTGCCCTGGGGGTGGACACACCAAGCCGTGCCTCAGTCTAGGGCATCATCTTTACCAAGTGCAAGTTCCGACGGGCCCCCCCACTGCACCGCCGGCCCATGCAGCTCAGTCCTCTCTCTGCCTCCGCCCGTCTCTCCCTCCTCCCGGGGCCCTCCTCTCAGCTGCTCGGCAGTGGACATGCACCATCCTCATATCATCCGGATGGCCAGGCCTGCAGAGAGGGACCAAGGAGAAGACGCCAGGGCAGACCCCAAGTCAGCAGCGGCACCCACACGTGGGGGGAAGCTGAGAGGGCAGGGCGGGCCTGTGCTGCTGCTCCGTGGGGCGCCTTGGCCTCAGGGTGACAAGCTTAGTATTACCTTCTCTGGGAAGACATCACCAGCCTGCTCTTCCTGCTTCTCCATCTCCAAGGGGACCCACGGCGGGACGGTCACTTAGCCACAGGGCGAAGAATGGCCATGCCTGAGTGGTGTCGATGGAGCAGGTGTGGGATGGGGAGCCCCCTTGGGATGACATCACTGACCTGCTGTGGTTTCCCGATCACCTTGAAGCCTCCCCCAGGGCCCACAGGGAGTCGTCTGGCCAGGCTCCTCCTTGCCAGTGGGGAACCAGCCAGAGGGAGGACGGAAGGACAGCAGTACATCCCCTTCTGGAGATGCTCCAGCAGAGAGACCCTGGCCTGCAGGAGAGGGGTAGGAACAAGAGTATGTCTTCCTCGGAAGCAGCTCTTCTTTGCCATTCACCTCTAGGTGCAAGCGAGTCCCACTCACCGTCGTTGGTCCTGCCCATTGTCAGCGCTGCTGGGGTGGCTCAGAGACAGCCCCTCCACCCTCCTTGCCCCTCTTCCTCAAGGTCGATGTGAACGGCAAGCAGGGTGTGTCCAGAAGTTCCTACCTCCAACTTGCTCCCTGGCTCCACCCCCACCACCCCTGCCTGACCACTCTAGAAGTTTGGGGCCCCATCCTTCTTGACCAACCTTTGGGAGACAGGGCCCAGGTGGTAGCCACTGCTATGCAGATGCCGCTGTCCCCAGGCTACCCAGACACACCCCCTCAGGAGGGGGTCTCATCAGCACTTGGTGGTCTCTGGAGTCACTCCCTTCCTCCCTTCAAGGAAACAGTCAAGGGCAGCCTCAGAGAGACCGTCCAGAATCCCAACTGACCTCCACAGCTAGCTTGTCCTGTCAGCAGGGACCCAACGGTCAAGCTGGAAGACCAGGTCAGAGAGGAGAGGAGAGAAGAGACGGACAACTGACCTTGACCCTGGCTCCACTTCTCCTCTCTTCATCCATCTCTCCCTTCCATCGTTGCCACCAGCCAGGCCCCGTGTGTGTGCTCTGAGATGGGTGTTGATTGGGTGGACAGGGACCAAGGTGAGAGATGGCCGAAGGAGAGTCATGGGACCCACATGTCTTGAAGGGGCTTAGAGTCGGGGCCCGTCTCCAGCCACATCCAAAGGACCTCTTCCCAGCAGCCCACTCTAGCTCAAGTTGCCGTTGCCTGCGAGGGACCACAGAAGTGTCATCTCACGTCCAAGTAGACATCCTCATTAGTCCTGGCCCTTCAGTCCAAAGGAGCCCCTCTCGGAACCTGAAAGGAGCCGTGTGTTGCCCGCCCAGGCCATGGGGCTACCCGAGCTTGCTCAGAACGCCAGCCCTCTGGATACACCGTGTACTTGTGCGTGGGTCTGTCACCCAGGGTGCCCCACGCATTGGCAGACAGCTCCTGTGGAGGGGCGTGTCCCAGGGTCCCTTCTCTACCCACCTTCTTCGAATCCATTCATCCTGCGGCTTCAGGGCATTTCCTCGCTTGCTTTTTTTTTGTTTGTTTTTTTAATGCCGATGGTGAACGAGGCAGAGAGGAAGGAGACGTAACCTGTCCTCAGGAAATCAGGGTGTTCATCTGCCAAGGCTGGGACAGTGGGGACCGACCGGTGCAGGACAACCTTGGGCACCATGGAGGGCCAATGGTAGAAAAGAGACTAACCACCGTGCCAGACTGGGGGACTGGGGAAAGGTGCTTCTCAAGGGGAAACGTCTAACTCAAGGTGCGGGCAGGTGGAGCAACCTGGGATTTCTCTCCCTGGTCCTTTGTTTTTTCCCCCCAGAGAAAGCCACAGGACCTGGCCGGCCTGAGAGGAGGCTGTGGGGGGTGCCCACAGCCCCACCACACGGGGGATTTTTGCACACGGGGAAGGGTCAGAGGGGAGAGGGACGCAAACGTATTTAACGCAGATTTGCCGAAAGAAAGGTGTGTGTGGGTGTGCGTGTGTGAGTGCGTGCGTGCGTTCGCTGTATGTTTTCAGTTTTGCACAGTGAGCGGGGGAACGGCAGAAGCAAAGACTGCTGGGTCGTTTTTTACGGGATGAGGAGTGTGGTTATTTCTCGGTACAGACATTGGGCTGCCCACCTTGTTTTGTCATTTTGTTTTCAAACACCTCAGAGGAGTCTACGGGCTGGAAGAGAGCGGAGGGAGAGTCGGAGGGAGCCAGATGTCCTTGCCCGCCTGGCTTCTCCCCCAGGGGGGTAGGGTGGGCGCCCTTGACGTGAGCGGCAGGTGGGGGTCTCTGGTGCTTCCTTTGGGAATGGAGAGAGAACGGGCAGCCCCGCCAGGCTGGCCTGAAAACTCTCTTCCTTTGGGCTTGTTTTCCGTTTGTCGGGGTTGGGCTCTTGCTGCCCATACATTGAAAAGCAAAGACACGCAGAGCCCCCCCCACCCCCCCACCCCCAGTGGTCCTGCCCCCACATCTTCTTTCCACACCCCTGGAGGGAGAACCCCCTCCGGTTTGTCGGCTGGAGACCAGAGCCCCCCCAGCCTCCCTGACACCACCCCTCTAGGTCAAGGCCAGTTGGCAGGGTCATAGTCTGCTCAAGGTGGGACCTTCATCTGACTCTCGAGTTCTAGGCAGAAGGCAGGAGAGGAAAGGCCATCTCCCCATTCACCCCCTGCACCCCTTCTTTCCCCCGAAACTACCAGGGTCAAATGGCACCTGGAGGTCAAAGAGCCTGGATTCGGTGGGGCTTTGGCGTGCTGGAAAGGGTGGGCTGAGAGTCAGCAGGTGGGGAGGGGGACTTTGAAGAACAGGTGTGGGAGGAGACCCCTCTCCAGGAGAGCAGTGGCCTCGCCCCCAGGACAAGTGTCTCCCATGTGGGCTCTGTCCCTGAGCCTTCCCCTCTGTAAGGCGATGCCAGCCAATCTCAGTCTCTGCAGACGCGCCACTGCATAGGTCTAGCAGCCCCTGCCAGTTACTTCCTCAGGAAAACATCGTCTTGCCTTCTTCCTTCATTGCGGTGTTTAAGCATGGCGGCAGAGCATGACCTGGGGGTCCCCCAGGCCCGCATCCTCCCCGTGCAGGTGACACTGATGAACCAAGGACCAGACACGCCCATGTAGATGGATGCTCGTCATGTCACTGAATCCCAGAGTCTGGGGTTGGCTGTCCAGGACTGCCGGGAAAAGCTGGCAGGCAGGATCTCCGACTGTGCCCTCTCCTGTCCTGGGCTGGGGTTACTGTCCTTGGACTTGGGCCCTCGCCTCTATCGTACACTGTGTGTCTGGCTTCTGAGTGTCCCCTCCCAAATGTGGCTGTCTTCCCCATCCCTCTTGCCAACCCCCCCACCCCCAACAGCTCTCCGGACAGGCCTCAGTGAACACACCTCCCACCCCCAGGCCAACCAAGCCCCCTTTTCTAACTGTACCTGTGGGCTGTTGGTTTGAGGTTTTGTAGTTGTTCATTTGTCCAGAGGGTGTTTGGACGCAGAGAGGGGGCCCAGGTGTGGGTATGAAATCCGAGTCCATAGGAAGAAAGAAGCCTTGGCCCGTGACACCCCTAGAGGGAGAGGGGTCTGGGGCGACCTCCCCTGGCTGCTATAGAAAAGGGTGGAGGCCCACGGGGAAGGGTGTCCTCTCTGGCTGGGCTGTTCAGGGCTGAGTCTTCTTCGAGGAATAGCAAGAGCTGAGACACCAGCATACAAGTTCAAGGCTGGGGTGGCCCTGGGCCCTTCTGGCCCCGGTGCTCGGAGGCTGCCAGAACCTTCCACGGCGCTCCCCTCCGCAAAGACTACCCAGAGACACCCGAGAGCAGCATTCGTTTTATTTTAAAGCCGTGCACAAAGGCGCGCCCCCCGCCCCCCACCCCCCACCCCGACCCCAGGAGAGCTCATGTTTCTTTTTACTAGGGGGAGGATGCGAAATGTAGGCACAGGATTCTGTGGTTGTGAAAGTGCTCATCAGGTCAGTCCGGGTGAGGACCAAAGAGGAAACAACAAAGCTGAACAGAACAAAAACCCTTCATGAGCAAACAAAAAGGACTTAAACAAAAAAAAAGCCTGCCAGCCTTGACAGATAGGGAGGTGGCCTGGGTGGGCCTGGCCTCCTCCACTCCCCTGGAATGATAGCATCTCACCCTGGTTCGGTCTGCCGTCCCTGGGCTCCAGGGAGAGCCTGTGAGGGACCGAGAAGGAGGGGGTTGCGGCCCCTCTCCGAGAGCAAACCTCCAGGAACCAGACCTGGCTCACCTAGTTAAGCCGGTTCACCCAGCCAACCAGCCTCGCTTGCAGCTTGCCTCCCCCGCCCCGCCCCAGTGCGTTTTCTGGCATCGGGACTGCTCTACCCGCTGTGCGCTAGTACCCAAGCACATTCCGGAAGCGCCCCCTTCTGCTGGTAGAACCCCAGACAGAGGCTGTGGTGAAACAGCGAAGGCCAGGGCAAGTCAGATGCTGGGACTCTCCCGATGGGCCGGCCTCCCGGCAAGGCGCTCAACCAGATGGGGTCTGATGGGTGTCCTGGTTGGTGGGGTCTTTCCGCTCCCTTTCCCCGGGGTGCGCCTCTCAGCTTGTCCGCTTGGCGAAATCTTCCGTTCTTTAAAAAAGAAAAAGCCAGTTTACCTCAGCGACCCTTGTTTCCGTCCGGAAACCAATGGCTGTATTTCAGGGTGGATGGCCCTCCCTAGCCCACCAGGTGTCCCGGAGGCCGGGGCCCCCACTTTGTCAGGGACAGGCTGCTCTGACCGGGAACAAGGCCTCCAGTGCCCGGAGATGGGAAGGAGGGGTTGACTGCAGCAGCCCCCCACTGTAGCTGGTATGGGCCAGCCCATCTCTTCCAGCAGCATCCCCTGCCCCCGTGTTACCATAGCAACCAGCAACTCCAGGGTACCACATAGACAAGGGCTCAGTGAGCCTAGGTGGGAGGGAGGGAGGGAGGCTTCTGGCCCTGTCGGACGACCCAGACTTCCGTCTCCAGCGCTGCTCCAAGGTGGGAGGAGACAGAGGACTAGATAAAGAATGGCTGGACAGACAGGCAGGGGTCTTGAAGACGCAGAGAACGGCCGTTGAAGGGGGTAGCGGGACAGGGCCCCTCTGCTCCATCCATCCCCTTCCAGGCCTGCCCCACTGTTTCCGAAAAGCCCCCACCTTGAACACTGACCCTCTGTTGGAACAAAGCAGAGCCTGTCTGTAGACACCAGTGTTAACGTGAGCCTCAAAGACGGGTGGGTGGAATGGATGTCGAAGGACGGGTGTTCTGGTTTTTGCTTTTTAAAGAAGCATATCCTAGTAAGTTTTTTTTTAAAAAAATTAAAGATTCACAAAGACAAAAAAAGTTTTTAAAAAATGGAAAACTATGCTATTTAAGCAGGAGCCCTGGTGGTAAGGTGGTTACGTGCTTGGCTGCGAACCCCAAAGGTCAGCACGTTGAACCCACGGCTGCTCCCCGGGAGGAAGATGTGGCCGCCTGCTCCCGCAAAGCTTGACAGCCTTGGACGCCCTCGGGAGCAGTTCCACTCTGTCCTCGAGGGTCGCTGGGCCTGCTAGGAAGCCCCCGGAGCCTGCTATTTAAATTGGAGCCCAGTTGTAACTTGGTAAAGGTAAGCCTCTGTCCCTTTGTTATAATTAATTGTATACCTGTGTATGTAAATATAAGGCATTCCTATTTTGCAGTTCAGAACAACCAGAAGAAGAAAAAAAACTTATTTGTAATATAGAATAAAGTTTATTAAAAAATAATAAAAATGCAGTTTGGGATGTTGTATCTTTCTCTCTGGACGTGGGGTAGGGCAGGGGGAGGAGAAGGCTGGCTTCACAGGAAGGGGGTGGTCTCTTGGCACAGAGAACCGGCTCCTCCTCTCTCTCCAGCTTCAGGAAGTCTCAGCTCAAGCACCAGGCACACGTCAGTGGGAGGCTGTGTCCTCAGGGATGGAGCAGACCCTGGAGGGGGCAGCTTGAAGAGATCCTAGGTGGGAGGGAGGGAGGCAGGGAGGTTTCTGGCCTGGTCAGATGACCCAGACTTACGTCTCCAGCGCCGCTCCAAGGGGGGAGGGTGGTGCTCTGTGCCACCCTCCTGGGGTCCCTGTCAACACAGCCCTGCAGGCCAGTCCAGAGGGATGGCTATGGAGAAGACACACAGATTGCCACCCCTGCTCTCAGTCTCCTTGGCTGTCTGCACTCTCAGGTGAAGGGTTCTGTTTGGGCCCTGATCCCTGATTTGGAGAGAGGATGGGTATTGGACCCAGCTGAGCTCCTAGGTAGGGGGCGAAACATTGGATGGGGAGAAGAGAATGGCCGGGAGGGCAGTGGCAAGAAGGCCAGGCCTCACATGTCTGTTTTGAGTGGTGAGAGCGTCAGGGGACAGCAAGAGGAGCCCTATTTGGCCACGGGGCTCGGGGCTCCTCCCTGTGCCTTCCTTGGGGTGCCTGTGATGGATGCACTCAGCTTTGGGAGCCTCACGTAGATGGTTGGGCCAGATGACCCTTTGGAATGCCAACATTCTTCTTCACCCTGGACACCAGGAGACAAGAGAAAGGGAAGGAGGTGGGAGGAGAGGTAGACCCCCAGAAAGGGGCAGAGTCAAGAAGTCGGGGGGAGAGAGGAAGAGGCATGTGGGGAGATAAAGGGCAGGTTCTGGAGACACTCAGCCAAGTCCTACCCTCCCCATCGACCAACGGATGTGAGGCTGGCACAGGGCCAGGTGGTGGTTGGTAGTGTTGTCTGCAGGGGACCTCTAGGTCAGAGCCGACTGCTCCCCGGAGGCCTCCTCCAGCCAGCAGAGCAGATCCCAGCAGTGTTCAGCGGGAATGGGGAGACAGTTTGGAGAATCCCAGTTCTGGCTTCACCTTTCAGCTCTTCACCAGCCTCCTGCACCTCCTCTGGCTTGGAGGAACTTCCTGAAATCCCAGGAAGCTAGGGAAGTGGTGGATCCAGGGTAGAATCCTCACCCAGCAGGAACGAGGTTGACCCAGCCAGTTCACCTCACACACAGCCACCGTTCCCCCCACCGCCTCCCATCTGTCCATGGAGGCTTGCGTGTTGCTATGATGTGAATGGGTTTTTATGAAGCTCCTAGACGAAGATAGAAGAGGGATGAAACCTGGGTTATCTCCTTGCAAAACCAGCGGGTGAAAATCTCAGCAATCCAACTCACCACTATCAGGTCCATTCTGACTCATGGGGACCCTGTGCACACAGGAGAGCGGTCCCCCCTGAGTTTCTGAGCCTGTAACTCATCAGGAGCAGACAGCCTCATTTTTCTCCTGCAGGGTAGCTGGTGGGTTCGAACCACTGACCTTGTGGTTAGCAGCTCAACACACAACCCACTATACCATCAGGGCAAGAGTCCCATCCTGGTGACCGTGGGGCGGATGCAGGAGCAAGTTGGTGTTTGGTTTACTTGTGCGTGGCATTGACATGAGTCAGGGTCGACTAAACAGAAACTGACCCAGACAGTCACACGCGGCCATGG